CTCCCTCGAAATCCACTGGTCCCTGTGTTTCCTCCCAAAGCCACTGACCCTGTGCTCGCCCTTGTCCCCAGAAACAGGCCTGCATGCTGATCCGCAACCTGGTGTCCCGCAGCCGGGACTTTTCCCAGCCCATCCTGGAGATGGGAGCCGAGAACCTGATCACGGAGGCTCGGGCTGCGCACAGGGACTGCGACGACGTGGCCAGGGCTGCCCTCAGGGACCTGGGCTGCAAAGTGGAGCTGCGGGAGCTGTGGACGGGCCAGAAGGGGAGCCTGGCTCAGTGAATCCTCGTTTCACCAAGCAGGGAAGATCCAAGGCGTTCTCTGCCCCCCCGGAATCCCGTGGGAAGAGCGACCGGCGTGGAATATCCAAAGCTTGGGAGGCTCGGGAAGCTGCAGGGAACGTTTTTTTTTCTCCTCGGGAGCTACAGCTGAAATGGCTTTCTGCATCCACAGGCTGCAAAATCAACTCTGTGTAGTGGTCGTTGCCTGGATCATCTCACGGCTGAGGATGATCTGCTCCCCCCCGGCATCCCCGGCGTGCAGGACGGGGCTGTTCCCCCTGCTCTGATCCCCGCGGTGGCAGCAGCAGCGGCTCTCTCCTCCTGCCCGGAGTTTGGCTGCTGGTTCCCATTTCTCGCCCTGCTCAGGGGCTGGATGAGGAGGAATCCCAGCGTTTGTGAATGTGCTCTCTCTGTTCCTTTGTTCTTTTACTGCTCACCCCACTCTTGTGTCGCTGCTTTCTTTGGGATTTTTTTTTTTTTTCCCGCCGGCGTAACGTTTGAAACGAAAAAAAACACGCACACACACACAAAAAAAAAGCAAAGTAAGGATTTGGGATAATGTCCAAAGGAACTTTTGGCATCCAGGAGGAAAGTTCATGTTCTCCCTCGATGAGAGGAGCAGGGCAGGGACTGGCAGTGGGGGTGGGAATTCCAAAGTGGGGCCAAGCTGGCAGTGGTTCCACGCTGCAGGAAGCGCTGGGAATCCCAGGCTTTGTCAACTCCTAGAACTTCCCTGGATCCAGGAATTCTTTAATTGTAGTGAAGAGGCCAAGAACCTCACAGACTGAGGCAAAACTGTGGATTTTTGGGCAAAGCAGGCCCCAGAAAGGCTCTGAAGTCTCAGCTAAAGGCTTTTGTGCCAGCCCTGCTCTGGTGCTGAGCCTTCCTCCCGCGCCGCCGCCGCTGTTTTTGTGAGTGGATGTTTTTAAATGTGATATTCTCTGTAGAAATGGTGACCTTATAAAACATACAAACCTTCCAGGGCTTGGTCGGCTCTTTGTGGAGCCTTTTTTATTTTTTTTTTTGTGGCAGGAAAAAGCAAGGTGGTGCTGAGTTTGTGAGTACAAACCTCCTGCAGCCCCGCCGCTGTCTGCCAGCAGATTGCAGAGGTCATTGTGTTCTTCAAAGCTTCCAACCCCCGTGGAGGAGGAGAGGCTGCCTGGCTCCTCTCTGCCTGCTGGGGGAAGAGCTGGGGGCGTTTTTGGACTGCTCTGACCCCGGGCTGGGTGAAAGGGCCCTGGGCAAGAGCCGGTGGAAAGGTGCAGAAGGACATTTTGGGGGAGAAGTGCTGAGAGCAGCGCGTTTGGTGCAGCCTGTGCCTCCCAAGCTTTGCCCTTCTGCTGGGTTTGGAATGGGGGACAATCAAACGAGGGATTTCCTGCGGGGTTTCATTTCCATCCCCTTCAACCAAGACTTGTTAGAGCTGAGCTCCCACCTCCAGTCCCGGGGTTTGAGCCGGGCGGAGCCGCGGCCTGCAGGACACCGGGGCCGTGCAGCACAGCGGAGCCGGGCGGGACATTCACGGTGGGATCCCCGCGCTCCGCACCGGTGCTGCAGGGTGGAACCGGGTGGGATTGTCGCTCCTCCAGCCGGGCTCCCCGGTCGGGGCCGTTCGGGCTCCCGGGCAGTCCCCGCCGGGCCCGGCCGCGCTCTCCGCCCCGCACCGAGCGCTGCCGCCCGCCCCGCTCCGCTACCGGGGCCCCGCCCCTCGCCTTTTGCCGCGCCCCCTCCCTCACCCGATTGGTCGCCTCTCTTGTCAATCTTTGCCGCGCGGCCAATCCACGCGCACGGTTCTGCCCCCGCCGCGCCGATTGGCCGCGCCTCAGGGCTGGCCCCGCCTCCCGCGGCGCAGCGGGGGCGGCCTGGCGGCGGCGGACGCGGCCGGGGCGGACGCGCAGCGGAGCCGGTGAGTGCGGGACCGGCCCGGAGCCGCCCCGCCGCGGGCGCTGACGCGGCCCCGCAGCGTCGGCGCCGTGTCCCGGTTCCCGAGGCCCGGACGGCCGCGCGCGTTGTGGCGGCGTGAGGCTCCGGGTGACATTGCCGCGGCTCCCGCGGGGTCACCCCGGGCCCCTCCCGGGGCTGTGGCGCGGCCGCCTCGGTGCGCTCGGGGGTGCGGGGGAGCGGCGGGATCCGGGGCCGGGCTGAGCTGCGGAGGAGCGGCGCCGGCCTTGGCTGTGTTGGCCCTGGGCTGCGGCACCGAGCGGGAGGCCCGGCCCTCACTGCCCGGACTGCGTGAGGGCTGCGTGAGGGCTGCGCTCCCTCCTTGCCTTGCCTGCTGCCCTGCTCCTTTTCCCTGCTCCTCTCCCTTCTCCCTGCTCCTTTTCCCTACTCCTCTTCCTTTTCCTTGCTCCTTTTCCCTGCTCCTCTCCCTTCTCCCTGCTCCTTTTCCCTGCTCCTCTTCCTTTTCCCTGTTCCTTTTCCTTTTCTCTGCTCCTTTTCTCTGCTCCTTTTCCCTGCTCCTTTTCCCTGCTCCTTTTCCTTTTCCCTGCTCCTTTTCCTTCTCTCTACTCCTTTTCCTTCTCTCTGCTCCTTTTCCTTCTCTCTGCTCCTTTTCCTTTTCCCTGCTCCATTTCCCTGCTCCTTTTTCCCTCCCTTCCCCTCCTGCTTTACCTACCTGTTCTCCCTGTTTCCTTCCCTCCCCCCCTGCCTGTTTTCCCTGCCTTTCCAGCCGCTGCTTTCCCTGTTTCCCACACTTTCCATCCTGCCCTGCTCCCACCTTTCCAGCCTGTCCCAGTGCCCCTTTTCCTGCCCTGCCATCCCCTGTGTCCCTGCTCCCATCCCGATCCCAGCTGGGCTCAGCCAAACACGCGGCTCCAGACGCAAAATGCCATTTTTTGTCTTATTTATTTCAATCGCCGAGGGGCTGAAAATGAGGGGAAATGATGTTTTTGTGCTGAGGGACAGATCCCAGGGGGCACGGGAGGTGTTGGACACAGATCTCTCCCATCTCAGCAGAACCAAAAACTTGCAGAGCTGTGCTGAATTCTCTACTTTGCCTTCAGAAGTGGGAATGGATGGAGCCTCTTGGCTCACCTTGGAGTTGTAAGGTGCAAAGACAGATGGAAAATGCTGGAAATGCCCGTGCAGGGTCAATCAGAGCTGTGTGTGGAGGTGGAATTGGCTCTTCCAGCCCAGCACTTGGTGCTGCTGCCCTTAAACCTGGGCTCCCCTCGGGGCTGGAGGTGTCAGGGATGTGTTTTTGTGCCTGTTGATGGATTTTTTTCCCCCCTGTTTTGTGTGTCTTGATGGTGTTTTTTCCTTCTGGCTGATGGTTTGGAAGCTGCTGTCACTTTGGGGTTTTCCTGCGTCACATTTAGTGCAGAGATGTGTGTGTGTGAAGGTTTGGCTGCTCCTCCCCTGTTTTTTTCTGTGGTTTAGGTGGATTTTTGGAGTGTTTCGAAAACATCCTGGGTTTTTAAGCGACTCCAGGTTGGAGCAGAGGAGAAGAAACATTGAAGAAAGAGAGGCTACAATAAGGGTTGGTTTAATCACACCAACAACCTGTGGCTGAAGGGATTTAAAAATAATCGTGGCTGAAACACCAGGTTTTGGTGTTCCAAAATTTGGATCCCAGCTCCCTCTGAGCATCTTCACAGAGCTGCAGATATTCAATTTATTTTTGTGTCCCCTTGCAAGCCCAAAGGATTGTTTAGGACCGCAAATGCTGAGGAAAGGCGGGAACTAGGGCTGTCCTGGGTGTTGGATTTCAGCAGGAATCCTCTGGCTGCTCCAGACAAGGGAATTTGGCAACCCCAGGAGCTGCAAGAATTTCACTTTGCTTGACCTGCAGCTGCTGCCCTGCCTTGCCACGGGCTCCAGGTGTTTTTGGTGTGTCAAACTTGGCTTTAGGAGGTGGCACAAAACTCAAACCTCAGCCCTGAGTGTGTGATGGGCTTGGTACAGGTCAGACAGGTTTGCTGTCAGAGAAGAAAGAAAAAATTAAAACAAAACCACCCACAGGAACCAGAAGTAATTTTATTTTTTTGAGTCACTTTGCTGCTGCTCAGAAGAAGATTTACTCGGGTTTGTGTGAAAATAATACTGATTCTTCACCTGGGTTTTCCAGGTGATCCAGGAGGATTCCTGGTAAAGGAAATCCTTGGAAAAGGGTATTTTGTTCAGCCTTGAGTGGAAAGGTGAGCTGCAGTGCAAACATCTCCCTCAAGGTCACCAAATAAATGAGGCTTGGAGGAGTTCTTTCCTTTAGTTGTGCTTTAAATCCCCTATTTTGTTGTTGCTGCGCAGTCAGAGATGAAGCTCTGGCTGCTGTGAGGCCTGATTTTCCAGAAAATAATCAAATTGACCTGAAATGTGCAGCGCTGTGGCCGAGCAGAGGTGATGGTTAACTTCAAATCCCACCAGAATTAGTGCAGAGGGAGCAGGGGGCAGGGTGGAAAACGCTTCCCTGAGGAAATGGCATTTCCTTGGCACACTTGTGGGCTCCTTCTGCTTCACCATGGAAGCTTTGAATTCCTCTTTCCCTTTCAATTTTTTTTTTTTTTTGTGTTTTTTAGAGGCGATTTTAAACTGCTGGGGGAGTTCAGAGCCGTTCTTGTAGTCACTCATTATGTGCTGAAGTAGCTCCTGGCAAAGTTGTGTGGACTGAGGTCTGCTTATATTCCAAATAATCCTGTTTTAAAAATCCCCCTGTGCTGGGATTTGTCCCTTTGTGTGGCTTTGGTGACATCCAGCTCAGCACACCATGGGAAAAGCACGATTTGATTATATTTTACCGCTTCTTTGGAAAACAAAACAAAACAAAACAAAACTTTTTGGTACTCAGGGAGGGGTTGCAGGGTGGGTTTTTGTTTTCTTGGAAAAGGAAAGGGATTGTTCCCTGCCCGAGGAGCTGTGGCCTCCCTGAGATAAAGCTGCTTGCAGATAAGAGCTGCTCTTCAGTTTGTGGCTGAAAAACTCAGCTCTGTTTTCCCTTGCCAGGATTCCCTCTGCTGCTTCCCATCTCCCTTGGAATAATCAGAATAATCAGAATAATTGGCTGCTCTGGGAGCTTCAACTCAGCCATTTCCCAGTGGCCTCAGTTTTAGGGCAGAACCTCCAAAACCAGGCCAGGAATTGAAGTTTTTATTCAGTTTTATTGGGAGGGCTGAGTTGTGCCAGGGAAGGGGGCAGGAGCAGCTTCTTATTGTGCTTCAGAGCAAAGTACACCTAAAAAAATGGAGTTTAAAAGTGTTGAAGTGACTCTAAAAAAGTTGAAGTGACTCTAAAAGTGTTGAACTGACTCTAAAAGTGTTGAACTGACTTTAAAAAAGTTGAACCGACTTCAAAACTTTTTAAAAACGAGCTGACTTAAAACAGTGAACTGACTCAAATTGAGCTAACGTGAAAAAATTGAACTAACGTAAGAAAAAAATGAAGTGACATTAAAAAAGTGAACATAAAAATTTTAAGCTTCAAAAATTTTAAACTTATAAAAACTATAAGCTTGAAAAATATTAAGCTTGAAAAATATTAAGCTTGAAAAAATTTAAGCTTGAAAAAATTTAAGCTTGAAAAAATTTAAGCTTGAAAAAATTTAAGCTTGAAAAATTTTAAGCTTCAAAAATTTTAAGCTTCAAAAATTTTAAAATTATAAAAATTTTAAACTTCAAAAATTTTAGACTTACAAAAATTTTAAACATATAAAAATTAAGCTCTTCCAGATATTGTAATTTAGTGATTTTTATAGGCAAAAAATGCTTCTGACTGTTCTTGGAGGGCAGAGGAGCCCTGAGCTGTTCCCAGCTGATGCCTTGGGGTTGATTTTTAACAGCTTAATCAGACTGGAAGGCAGAGCTGGACCCCAAGGGGAGAGTCCATCCCATTCCCAGCATTCCAACCCTTTTTTTTCCCAGATTTTCCATGATTTTCCAGGCTGTTTTTGCAGCAGTCTCAGATAAATATCGAGGGAAATTTAATTGAGCAACTTCCCCTGGTGCTGGAGCGGCTCAGCCTGCCAGGGAAAGGTGTGAAAATTCCTGCAGGGTTTTGTTCCTTCCTAATTTCATCGTGTGCTTTCATTAGTGGCGTTAATGACATAATCAAATCCAAAAAAAAAACCAGCAAAAAAATGGGAGTTGTGAAAGGGGATTTAAGTAAATTAAATGGGAATCATGGCTCCATCCACGCCTGTGTTCAGTGAGCTGAGTGTGGGATTTGTTTGTCGTAATTCCCAATTATTGAATTGCATTTTTGAATTATTGAATTGAAAAGTCCTTTTAAGTTTCCCCTCTCTGTCTTTTCTCTCCTCAGACTAAATTCCTCCTGTTTATTTTTCGAGTACACCGAATTTTTTTGGGCATCAATGGCTTTGCCATTCCCGTGCTCCTGGCATTTTCCAGGGGGAAAAAGCAAATATTTCTCAGCAAATAGGGGATTGTTTGCTTTGCAGTTTGTCTGTCCCCGCTGGGACAAATCTTTCTGCAAGAGAAATCTTTCACAGCTTCGGGACAGGTTGAAATTCACATTTGTTTAGGAATCACACCATTTCAGAGAGCACAGAATTGGGATCAAGTCCTAATTTTTAGGATTCAGATCCCCAAATTCCACATCCACAGTGCTGTTAAATCCCTCCAGGGATGAGGATTCCAGCCAAGCTTTTCCATGAAGAAATTTTCCCTAAAAATCTGATTTAAACCTCCCCTGGCACAAGCTGAGGCTGTTCCCTCTGCTCCTGTCCCATCCCTGGGAGCAGAGCCTGACTCCAGCTCCCATTCCCAGAATCCTGCCATGGTTTGGGTTGGAAAAACCTTAAAAAAACACAAATCCCTCCCTTTTTCTCATATTTCAAGCCTCTTCTTCCTGCTGGAGTTTGCTGTTGATCTGAGCTGGGAAAAATACAGAAAATAGGAATTTCGGGCAGGTTGCGAAGCCAAACTTTTCCATGAAATTTAAAATTTGGATTTGTGGAATTGCTGGCTAATCCCCAAACCTTCAGCACCATTTTAAATTCTTTTAATTTCATTTAATTTTTAATTGTTCCTGCCCCAATTTGGGTTTATTTCTTCATTTGAGATGCTGCTCCCGGAAACTCATTGGCCCTTCTGCTGAGCAATTAATGATTTTAAAATCATTCAGATATTCCAAAGAGGGAGTTTCCCAATTTTCCCAATTTGGGGAATAATCTTTAATCCGTGGCTGACTTCCATTCTGGATCTGAGTGTGGAGTGAATTTTTTTGTACTTTCAATAAATACTCCTGAATTTTGGTGTAAAAAAAACCCACAGAGTCTGTTACTCATCGACCCTTAACTCCCAAAATCTCCTTTTCCAGTGATTTTTCCCTCTTTATTCCTCAGGGAATGATTTGTTTTGCCGGATCCAGATGTGTGACAGGGACTTGTGTAACTCCTATAAAAATAACCCAGCAGTGGGTTAGGAAAAAAAAACAAAAACCACATTTAATCCCCAGTTTTTGGAGGTTTTTTTTATTTCTTTTTATTTTTTTTCTGGCTTTGTAAACACAAATGGAATGACTGTGTGGGGACAGATCCAAAATACAGGGATTTAACAAAACTATCCAGCTGCTCCACGTGGTTTTTGCTGGGTTATTTAAGAATTGAGTCAGGTTGATGTAGATGCAAAATAATGGCTGGTTTTTAATAGCCAGGCGCTGCAAATTGACACCAGAACTTGAAATTCAAGCTGAATTTTAAGATAAATTTTGTTTTCTGTGGTTCCAGTGTGAATTATTGGTCAAAATAACCTGCTGACATCAGAATCCAGCCCGAATCCAAAATAAAATCCAGCTTTGAGGCCAGCAAAAGGGAACAAAAATAATAAATAAATGAATGCTATTTTTGCGTCCTGCGTGTTGAGGGCAGGTTTGATGTGTAAAATTGAGTGTATAAACAGGTGTTTGTAGGCTCAGGGCAGTGGGCACTAAAAATAAATAAGGAATGTGTCTAAACAGGATAAAAAGAAATATTGTGGAGTAAATAGATCTCATCTTTATGCAAAAAATAAGTCCAGCCTTAATAACTTAATATAAAATAGTATATTTATTTATATATGTACTATATATATAAATTTTGTATATATATATATATATATACTATATATTTTTTTTATATATTTATATATACTATATATATTTTATATAGTTATGTATATACTATATATTTTTTATATTTTTATATTTATATATTTATATATATACTTTATATATAAACTATATATAAATAATTTAATAATGTAATAATCACTTTAATTTGGCAAAATTCCTTTCAGGCCTCTCTTTTATATTATTATATTTAGATTATGTATAATTATATATAATTATAGACATATATATATAATAGACATATATATAATCATATATATAATTATAGACTTAATTATATATAAAATATATTTTGTATATCTATATATATGACATACTACATTATTATTTTATATTTTAATATACATTTATATATATAATTAATATATATTTAATATATATTATATAATACTGTATATTAATATATAAATATATAATATATTAATTTATTAATTATATATTAATATTATATTAAATATATTATTAATATATAAATATATTAATATAAATGTATTAATATATATTTTTTTATATAATTTATTTTTATATATTTTTAACCTATATATTTATTTTTATATCTATATTTTTATATTTATATATTTAAAAGAAAGCTGCGTTTTGCATTCCTAAGCCCTTTAGCACAATTTCTATTTTTCATGGTGGGGGGGAGGAAGGAGAGTTATTTTTGGCAGAGATAAATCTGATATTGTGACCTACATTCCTTTATTGCAGGCAGGGCAGGGATAACATCCCCACCTGTGATTTCCTTCACACTTTGGAAGAAAAAGGGAATTTTACAATGCCGTTTTCCAGGCCTGTGAGATAAGGAGGGATGAGAAGGGAAGGAAATGACTGCAGGTCATTAGAAGTAATAATTAGGAGTAATTAACTGCGTTCTTCAAGCGCAGAATAATTAGGGATCGTCTCCGCTCTTGACGCTTGTGGGAGTTTTTGGTCTGACGTGAGGGAACTTGCAGGTTGTGTCAGGTGTTATATCCCACTAAAACCTGGAGTTAGCCCTCCCCAAGCTCCCAAAACACCCTCAGGAATTTGGGAATTGCTGGATTTGTGTTTTCCCAAAGTTTTGGGAAGGAAGGGGGAGCTTTGGGGTGGCCTCAAGGCCTGAGGGGGACGACAAAAAAGGTGGAGGGAGGCAATTTCCAAGGGCCTGGAAAAAATGGGGGACGGCTTCAGACTGGAAAAGGGGAATGTGGGTGGGATCTTGGGAAGGGATTCCCGGCTGTGTGAAGGAATTTTGGTGGCCATGGAATTCCCAGAGAAGCCTTGGAAGCACCCAAGGCCAGCCTGGAGCAACAGGAGGTGGTGGAAGGTGTGGGGTGGGATGAGATGATCCTAAAAGTCCTTCCCAACCCATCCCATCTTTAATTCTGGGATGATCCAGGTGATCCTAAAAGTCCTTCCCAATCCATCTTTAATTCTGGGATGATCCAGGTGATCCTAAAAGTCCTTCCCAGCCCATCCCATCTTTAATTCTGGGATGATCCAAGGTTTCCAGGTGTGTTTTTCCCCCTCTGGAGCGAGGATGAGGCTCCTCCATCCCAAATCGGTCACGCCCGAGTTGTGTTTAAAACCTGCAGCCAGCCAGGCTTGGGAAATGAGGGCTGGCATTAATTTATGAGGGGGAAAAAAAAGCAGCTCAGCAAGTTTGAAAGGTGCTGACAAGCATAAAGTACCTGAGATTGTTCAAAAAAGGGGGAAAAAAAAAGGCTGGAAATTATTATTTATTCTATTTTATTTTTCCACGTGAGCAGAACGTTGTGCCCGAGGTTTCGCAGGCATCAGAGGGAGCAGGAGGGAACTGAATTGAGGAATTCTCATTTCCTAATAAAACATTCCTTGAAAGGTTTAACCTTCCGGAGTGAGGCTGTTGGAGCAGCTTTGTGGCTTAGAAAAGTGATTTTTTTGTCCTTGCAGAGCCCCCCTGTGAGCAGCTCCAGGGCCACTTCCCTGAGCCACCTCAGGGTTTTCACAATTCCAGTCCTGAATATTCCTGAAAATATTCTGAAAAATATTTTTTTCAGGCTGAAAAAGCAGAAATATCAGAAAGTCAGAGCTAAAAAAAAAAAAAAAAGGGAATTATTCCATTTCAACAGAATTATTTCTTCATCCACGCTCTGCAGCCAAGGTCAGGCCGACCTTTCCTCTCAGAGGGTGGGTTTGGGACATCTCAGAGCAGGAAAATCCTGTGCAAACCGCCCTGGGAGGAAAGGGAAAGGCACCAGAATAAATCCCAGAGTGGCCTTTGTGGCACGTGTGAGGCACTGGATCCCTCTCTTCCCAAAAATAACCCCCACTGGCTCGTGGCTGGCCTTGGGCACTCATTCCTGGGACTATTTTTTCCCCCCCTTTTTCATAGGGTTTTAAATTTCCACCTTCTTTCTCCAGTATCTCGTTGCTCAGCAATCCCAAATAGCCAAAATCTTCCAATCCCAAAATCCTCGCTGGGGGAGGGCAGGATGTGCTCTTTTTCCCTGGAAACGATGGATATTTTGGTGTTAGTGCAGCTGAGTTCTGTGTGGGGTGAAAAGGGCACAGTTTTCATCTTAATCCCCCCAAAAAAATCCATTTAAATCCATTTACACCTCAAAGGAAGGAAATGGCACCAGGAACCTGGAAATGCCATTTTCCTGGGAATTGGGAGAGGGTTTTCCTGCTGAAAATGGCACTTCCCTGCGCTTTATCACCGCGATATTTCCCACTTTTGACGTTTCTCCTTTGTTTTTTGGGTTGTGTTTAGGAGCTGTAGCTCTCCTGCCCCCGTGGAAGTGTGACTGGTATGGGTAATGGTGTGAGAGAAGGTCCAGTGGAATTCCAGAGGGATGTGGAGCCCGTCACGGCCCGAATTCCGGCAGAGGTGAGAGCAGGAGCCGGGCTGGGAATCCAGAGCGGCTCCAGGGAGGGAATTCTGCCCTGCTCAGCTGGGATCCCACCTGGAATTCTGCATCCAGCACTGGAAGGACGTGGAGATGTTGGGGCGAGTCCAGAGGAGGCTCCAGGATGATCAGAGGGATGGAGAAGCTGGGAAAATTGGGATTGTCCAGCCTGGAAAGGCTCCAGGGTCACCTAATTGTGACTTTGCAGTGCCTGAGGGAGCCACAAGAAACACAGAGAGATATTTGGGATGAGGGATGGAGGGACAGGACACGGGGAATGGCTTCAAACTGCAACAGGGGAATTTGGGTGGGATATTGGGAAGGTGGAGAGGGGCTGGGATGGAATTCCCAGAGCAGCTGTGGCTGCCCCTGGATCCCTGGAAGTGTCCAAGGGCCAGCTTGGAGCAGCCTGGGATGGTGGAAGATGTCCCTGCCCATGGAATGGGGTGAATTTTAAGATCTTTCCAACCCAAACCAGTCTGGGATTTGAGCTCTGGGCTCCCAAAAGCCACCAGCATTTCCATGATCCATGGAATGAGTCCCTCCGAGGGGATCCAGACATTCCCAACCCAGGGTTGTGCCAGGGCCACCAATCCAGGCTTTCCTGGGCTGGTTGGAATCCCTGGAGAAAGGAACTTTGCTGTGCTTTAGCCCAAATCCGGGGCTGGAGCTCACCTTTGCTCCACTGCCCTCGCACCCAGGCACGGCTTGGGAACGGGAATTGAGCTGATCCAGGGGTTTTGGGTCATAAACATTAACTCTGGGCTTGGGAAACGTCCTGGAAACGAGGGAAATGTGAGCTCCTCTCATCCATGAAGTGTCAAAAGTTCACACATCAAGCCTGGGCTTGTTCTCACTCCAGAACCTCCACGGGGCTTGGATTTTGTGGCTTTTTTTTTGTTTTGTTTTTTTGGCTCTCTGTGGGAGAAAAATGCTGATTTTATAAATCTGAGCTGTGGCAGGAATGCCAAGAGCAAAATCCCTCTCGTTCCACCCACCAGAGGGGGAAAACTGCCTGGATTCATCCTCAGGAGCTTGGGAATGATGTGGGAATGGGGCTTGGGTGCTTCTTTTCCAGAAACTTCCCTCCTGCCCATGGCTAAATCGTGGGGAGGGAGAAGGAGAAAAAACAGGGGGAAAACAGCACATGAAAGAGGAATTATTGGAATTTTGCCTCAAGGAATTCACTGTGCTGGAAATTTAGTGAAACATTTTGACCCAAATCCTGGCCCTGGGGTGAATTTCTGCAGAAAAAGTGAAATGTTATTCCTTGTGGGATTGAATTTTTTTTTCCCCCACTATCCAATGCTTTTTTTTTTTTTTTCCAGGATAACCAGGAGAAGAAGAAAGTGCTGAACTCCCTGATATCTGGGGCACTGGCTGGGGCTGTGGCTAAAACTGCAGTGGCTCCTCTGGACAGGACAAAAATCATGTTCCAAGGTGAGTCCTGTGGGCTTTCCCCAAATTTTTTTAGACTTTCAGCCCTTTGAGCTCCCGATCTGCTCATCCAGCTCCTTTTCCAGGAGGTGTGGAGACTCTGGGAAGAGGGAATTGGGCTGTGGGAGTTCCCTGCTGAAGGCTGGATGCCAAAATTGTGTCAAGTCTCCCCAAACTGGGAGGCAGGAGACACTGGAGCTGCTGCGCCCCTGAATTGTGGCAGAAAATGAAATTCCTCTGCCTGGAATAGAGAATTCAGCAGGATTTGGGGATTTTGGGATCTGTTGCAGTGCAATTCCTCCAATTATCCCAAAGGGAACAGCACAGGCCCTTTAATTCAGTGGATTTGGGAAAAGCCAAGAATTTTAAATCTGGTGACGTCCCAGATTAACTGAACTGGGCTCAGTCTAATCCCTGGCTGACATTTAATTTAGAACTGATTTTTACTCACGTGATTTTCATTCTGGGCAGAGCAAGGAGCTCTGGAATTGCTGGGATATCCACCAGGGAGGCCCCTGGGAGCTGAATTTTTGGGTTTTCCCACCAAAAACTCACACCCAGGTTCATTCCAGGGTGGAAATATTGGGAGCAGGGATGAGAGGGAAGTCACAGAGCCAGCAGCTGACCCAGGGAATCACCTGGAATTTGGACAGGCCACGTTCCTTAAAATCCCTGTGTGGTTCAGCCCATCTCAGTGGCTGGAAAGGAATGGGATTAAAATGTTCCAATTGCAGCAATTTCTTGGGATCTGATGGATTGTTTTAGGCTCTTTCTGTCCTTAGGGGTTTTAATTGAAAACACCTTTGGATCATCAAAGTGATGAGTTAGAAACTGAGGAATGAGGCTTGGGATGGTGGAAAGTGGAACTGGATGAGCTTTCCCAGCCCAAACCATCCCACAACTCAATAAATTTCCCCGTGGCAGAGGAAGAAAAACCTTTTGAAAGGAGCAAAACCACCTTGATAACCCATCTCTGTTTATTGAGGTGTTTTATTCCTTAAAAAAAACCCCAAAAAACAAAAACAAAAACAAAAAAACCACAAAAAAAACCCAAAACAAAAGCGTTGGAATTGCACAGAGGAGCAGCAGTGGGGAAAAGTGGATTTGCATGGAATTGTTGGATACACTCCAGAGGCTCCCAAAGTCTCAGCTGAGCGAGGAAGGAGCTGCAGCAGCCCCTTAATTGGAGCCACGTTTCATTAAAAGGTTTCCAGGCTTTTCCATCCCTTTTGGCAGAGCTGCCAAACAAATCCCGCTTCCCAAATCCCGCCTCGTGGATTCCACGGATAAGGAGGTGCTGTCACTTTGGATGGATGCAAGGGAAAAAAAAGAAAAATAATAAAAAATCAGGGAGTTCATTTGAGTTCTGCTCGGATGGAGCCGCTCTTGCGTGGAGCTTCACTCTTCTCCTCGCTGGATTCTGGAATTAGGCTGGGATCTGGGCATGGAAATTCTCTGAAAAATAAGTGAACGGTGCAGTTTTGATGTTTTTTCTTTAATTAATTGTTTTTATTTATTCATTTATTCCGCGCAAACTGAATTTTCCTAACAGGCGGTGGGGGAAAAAAATGGACTTTTGTGCTAAATTATGGGAGCATTTACAAGACAAAGAATCTCTATTTCCTCTTGCATTCATTCTTTTCCTTCTATTTTTATCCCTTTGGCCGAAACACCTGTTTATTTATCCCTTATTTAGGGATTCATGGATCAAATATTTATTTTTATGTCTTGCAAGCCCTAATCTTTTTTCTTTTTTCTTTTTATTTTTAGTGTCTTCAAAAAGATTTTCTGCCAAGGTGAGGTGATGTCTGTCTGCTGTTGCCCTGAAGTCTTTGATTTTTATTTTGTTGGCCTTTATTTCACGTTTTTGGGGATTTATCAGCAGCATTCCATGAAAACATAGAGGGAAAGGCTGGGAATGGTGTTGTTAATTATGGGATTAATTAGGATAGTGATTACTGGGAGGATTCAAACTCCAGGCTGTACCTGTGATGTGACAATAAACGTGACATCACTCAGGGCTTTGGGTTTTGGGACCTTTTTTAGTGGATTTGGGATCTTTCCTGGTGATTTGGGGACCTTCTAGTGATTTGGGATGTTTTGTAGTGATTTTGGGACCATTCCTTGTGATTTTGGGACCTTTCCTTCTGATTTTGGGACCATTTCTAGTGCTCCTTTCCTTCCCCCAAGCACACAGGAGTTGTTGCAGCATTTATAGGGAATTAAATCTGGGATCTGATCCCTCCCGTGGCTTTCTGAGTTCTTTTTCCCCGTGCATTCCAGCTTTTCCATGCTTGCCGTGCCCTGGTGTGCGTGATCCGAATGTTCCTGCCTGGCCCCGAGGAGATGAATTTGGGTTTGGGAAGGGGTTTTATGCAAATTGTGCCTTCCCTGAGAGGGAAAATGAGGCAGGCTGGGATATAAAAACCCTTCCTTGTCCTTGGCTTGCTCTTGCGCAGAGCTTCGCTCTCTCCTCACCGGATTCTGGAATTAAGCTGGGATCCGGGCATGGAAACGCTCTGAAAAATAAGTGAACGGTGCAGTTTTGATGTTTTTCTTTAACTAACTTGAAAAAAATTCATCCATTTATTCCACAAACCGAATTTTAAAGCACGGGGATGTGACGGAGCCCCCAGGGCAGCCACATCAGCTCCATGGGAAGGGGGATTGGGAAGGGTTAAACTGTGGGGTCACATCCTCACCCTGCATTCCCGTTATCCCTGACCCTTGCCCTGTTCCCCACAGGAAGCTCACGGGCTGATTTATCCCCGCAGGAAGCCTACAGGCTGATTTATCACACCTACCTCAACGAGGGCTTCTGGAGCCTCTGGAGAGGGAATTCCGCCACCATGGTCCGCGTGATCCCCTACGCCGCCATCCAGTTCTGCGCCCACGAGGAGTACAAGCAGATCCTGGGGAATTACTACGGATTCCAGGGAAAGTAAGAGGCAGCGGGGCTCGGGATCCTGCTGGGATCCTTGGATCCAGCTGAGGCCGGAGCAGGGAAACTGTGAGGGGGAAACTGTGAGGGGGAAACTCTGAGGGGGAAACTCTGAGGGGGAATATCTGAGGGGAAAGCTGTGAGGGAGAAGCTCTGATGGGAAAGCTCTGATGGGAAAGCTCTGATGGGAAAGCTCTGAGGGGAAAGCTCTGATGGGAAAGCTCTGATGGGAAAGCTCTGAGGGGGAAGCTCTGAGGGGAAAGCTCTGAGGGAGAAGC